GATAACTCTATAAGGAAGAAGAGTCCGACCTCTCATCATTCAACTAGTCTTATCTGGGATAAAGAGATGACATCTGTTCCAAAATCACCTACAACTATTATCAAATACTATGGTCATCATTTAAGTCCCTATGAACAAACAGAGATTCAAAAATTTCCAGAGGTTTACTTTGTAGGTCATCTCTGTTCACACAAGCATCAGGCCATGCCTGATCATAAAGTGAATAATTATGGCTACGATGATGAAAGTGGTGACTATCGATCGATACGTCATGATCATATAGGATATCGATATGAGATTTTAAGTGAACTTGGCAGAGGATCATTTGGACAGGTAGTTAAATGCTATGATCATAAGACAGGTCAACAAGTAGCTGTCAAATTAATTCGCAATAAGAAGCGATTTTATGCGCAAGCGAAGACTGAAGTGAAGATTTTAAGTGATTTAGTAAAATGGTAATAAGAATATAATACTCTATTCTATAATAAAATAAATCTATTTACCTATTTATTTATTTATATTTTAGGATCCTGAAGATAAATATCATAATATTCGAATGATAGACAGTTTTTATTTTAGAAATCATTTATGTATTGCTTGTGAATGTCTAAGTATGAATCTTTATGAATTTATTAAAGTCAATAATTTCCAAGGTTTCCATACTACGTTGATTAAAAGGTAAGGAAAAACACACACACACTGTGTTTTATATTTTGTGGTTATCGCCCTTCTACAAATATTAGCTGTAGAGACTTATACTCTCTTTCCTTTTAATATAAATACTATAAGATTTGTTATCCAAATACTTCGATCCTTAACACTTTTATCGAAATACGGGGTCATTCATTGTGATTTGAAACCAGAGGCAAGTATTGCGATTTATTCACAAGTAGAGTATATAATTAAAGTTTATAGATATTTAGAATATTCTGCTGAAACATCCTACAAAGAGTACAATCAAAGTTATTGATTTTGGTAGTAGTTGTTTGGAAAGTCAAAGAGGTATATACAAACATATACAATGCATATATCTACTAAATACCTTTGCACTCATTATTTTTTTTTACAGTCTACACTTATATTCAAAGTAGATTTTATAGATCTCCTGAAATCATTTTAGGTTTAGATTATACCACAGCCATTGATATGTGGAGTTTAGGATGTATTATGGCTGAGTTGTATACGGGTATTCCTATCTTTCCTGGCGAAAATGAACAGGAACAATTACTATGTATTATGGAAGTCCTGGGTTTACCAGATGAAGAATTGATTGAATTAAGTGATCGAAAACATTTATTCTTTGGTACAAAAAAAATGTTTATATGTTTTTTGAATGCATTATTTAAAAATTTTTTTTTTTTTTAGATTGTCGTGGACAGCCTCGTGTTGTTTGTAATTCAAAAGGCAAAAGACGTAAAGCAGGAGCCAAGAGTCTTTCGCAAGTTTTGAAATGTAGTGATAGTTTGTTTTTGGACTTTATTCAACAATGTTTACAATGGAATCCTGCGAAACGATTGACTCCAGAAAAGGCCTTCCAACATGAATGGATATTGCAACAGAATAATTCTAATAAAAGGCCTAATGAAACTTCTTCTCCAACGTCTGCTACTACAGAAGCATGTTAATTCGTTTATACCATCAACAATTATATTAAAAGAAAAAGAAAAAACGTGCAATTTATATGTATTACTTTCTCTATCTTTTAATGGTCTAAAAATAATAAATAGTGTCACTTATATATATATACCTATCCTAATTGTACAGCTTGTACTTACCTTCCTGCACTGTCACATAATTTAATAGTGTGCGTAAATTATATTGATTTAAATTTAACATACTTCTTTATAGTATGCATCATTCAAGTTTATTCATTTCTATCATGACTTACATGTATGATATAAATCATCTTTACACGTTGTAATTCAACTCATTGAATCATAAAAAGAAGGAGAAATAAAAAAAAATACACTATTAAAGGGCCTTGTAGTTAACCTTAAGTTATGATCTACTATAGAAACAAACAAAATATCCAATTACATTTCTTTCATAAACACCAAGAGCCTTTTATTCTTATAATTAATTCTATGAATTTAGATTATTATTATTTTTTTAGTGTCAAATATACTTTAATCAGGTAAATGTTGTATTTCTTTTTAGTCAATAGTGTTATCTATAAAATGTTATACAATTATTTTTTCTCCTTTTTTTTATTTATTTATTTTCCTTTTTTCTTTTAAAATAAAATAAAATAAAAATGACAACGACAAGATCTTCTTCTTCTTTTTCACAAAATAACAAGGATAAAGTTCAGCAAGAACAAGAAATTGAAGAATCAACAAATACCAAAGAAATCTGTTTGAATCAAGAAGAGAATGAAGCTTCTGATTTTTTAATTACTACTTTAGAAGTAAGATATGTCATACATGATTAAAAAAAAAAATACAGACATGCATATTTATCTTATTCAAATTAGAGTCACGGTGTTCAAATGTCAGATATTAAAAGACTTCAAAGTGAGGGCTTCTATACAATTGATTCTGTCGCTTATACACCAAGAAAGGCATTAATTGCTATTAAAGGTTTATCAGAAGCAAAAGTAGATAAAATTATTAAAGAAGGTAAATTTTAGTCCTTTTTTTTTTTTTTTTTTGTTGTCATATTCATTGAATTGAATTCTTCTTTCTCTTCTTCTTCTTGTTTACAAGTTCATTCAATTATTAATATTGGATTTACTACTGCACTTGATATACAAGCAAGAAGAAATGAACTCATTTTTATTACAACAGGTTCAAATGATCTTGATAAATTATTAGGAGGTGGTATTGAAACTGGATCTATTACTGAGTTATTTGGTGAATTTCGATGTGGTAAAACACAACTGTGTCATACGTTAGCTGTTACATGTCAGGTAATGTGGCCTACATCACTTTATATACACACATATAAATATATTAATACATACACATGTATATATAAGCTTTCTGCTGAAAGAGGAGGTGCAGAAGGAAAATGTCTTTATATTGATACAGAAGGGACTTTTAGACCTAATCGAATTTTATCTATTGCAGCAAGGTTGGAAAGTTTTTTAAATATATACACATATATAAATGTATTTATAAAACTAAGTGTGATATAGATATGATTTAGATACTGAGACTTGTTTAAATAATATTGCTTATGCTAGAGCTTATAATACAGATCATCAAACATCTCTTTTAGTGCAAGCAGCTGCTATGATGTCAGAAACAAGGTGAATATATACATACATACATACATGCAAGACGATGACTAAACAAAACAAAATGGTGTTAGATTTGCTATAGTAATTATCGATAGTGCTATATCATTATATCGTACCGACTTTATTGGCCGTGGTGAGTTATCTGCTAGACAAATGCATTTAGCAAGATTCTTGCGTAACTTACAAAGATTGGCGGATGAGTTTGGTGTTGCTGTTGTATTGACCAATCAAATGATGGCTACCGTAGATGGCGCCGCTTCCATGTTTAATGCGGATCCTAAAAAGCCTACAGGAGGAAATATCATGGCTCATGCTTGTTGTACTCGTTTACAATTAAAAAAGGGAAGAGGCGAAAATCGTATATGCAAAATTTATGATTCTCCTTCTTTACCAGAAAGCGAAGTTACTTTTCTATTGGAGAAGAAGGAATTAAAGATGCAGAAGATTAAAGCCCTTTTATTTTTTTTTTAAAACAATTTGCTCCAAATAATTAATACAATAAGAACAATTAAAATCAAAATAATAGCTGCAGTAATTAATTTGTTTGTCGCCATTCTATCATAAATAAATAAATAAATAAATAGTCTTTCTTTCTTTCTTCTTTTGCTTGACTTATCTTACTTACCGACGTGCCATTCCCTTGAGCGTTTTAGATGCTTTATCAATGTGAGAATCTGCTTCTGCAAGCTATACAACAAACAGTCATCATTGTAAGTATTTTTTTTTTACATTTGACTTTTTTTAATACTAATAGAATAAACTTACTGTATCTCTTGCTCGAACCATTGTTTCACGTTGACCTTTAAGAGTACTTAAAATATTAATACCAATACCTTCTGTCTCTAAAGCTAATCGATGACTATCTTCTAAACGTCGGCTTGATTGTCCAAGTCGCTCAGTACCGCTTAATAATCTTTGTCGTTGATCCATAGTAGAGGCATCATAATCTGTTAATCCTTCATCATTATTATCACTGTTAAAACCACCTAACAGTTGTTCTCTATCTGAATTCTTTGGCAAAATGGCTGTTGTTCTCCTCTGAAGAGAAAAAGAAAATCAAGTCAATTTTCAATCATGAATAGCTAATAAATATGTATATTTATTACCAAATCTCTTTTAAGCTTTTCTGCTTCTGATTTATAAAGTCTTAATTTGGCTTGTAAACGTGTTCGTGAAGGTGTTGGAATATTTAAGATCTCCATTTCCATTTGACCAAGCTATTTGAAAAAAAAAAATTAATAACCTCTCTTTTTCTTTTGCTTTAGTTCATTTTCATTACAATCTCATTAGCTTCGTCAATTTCTCTTTCAACAGCACGAATAGTAGCCTTTCTTTCCTCTATGATAATAAAAAGAGATGAACTTGTTATCTATGCAAATAAATAGGTGGGGAGGAATTTTTTTTTCTTTTCCTTTTTTTTTTTTTACCTCCTTTTTGATTAGGAATGTGCTGTTCAATTTTTGATTTTATAGATTCTGTAAGTATAGTAAAGTCCTGCTCATAACTAGAAAATAATTCAGAGCCTCCAGCTGATGAAGTCATTATATGTATATATGTATATATATAAAAAAAAGAAGTATATATTTATAAATGTATATAAAAGAGTTGTTCAAGCTTTTCTTATTTTCTTTTTTTCTCAAAAAAAAAAAAAAAAAAAAAAAGCCTGTTGTTACTTCAATTGGGTATCCGCTAATCACGTGCTATATTCTAACAATAGGTGCTATGGTAAATAATTTATGTGTTTGTTTCTTCGACATAGCTAATACAAACTGGTTGTTTAACAAAATTTAATTTTTATATTTATTTATTTATTTATTAATTTTTTATTATTATTATTATTATTATTTCAATAAATTCCATTTTTGTTTCATGACAATTTATAAAGAAGATGAAGCATCAGATGTAGATGCAATTCAGGTAATTCTTTGAAACTATTTTGAAATAAAAATAAAAATAAAATAAAAAAATAAAACCTTCAGGAACCAAAAAAACACAAAAACAAAAAAAAACAAAAAAAAAAAATAAAAAAAAAACAAAAAAAAATAAAAATTTTAGGTCTGGAGTGCAAAGGAATTAGAAAGTGAATTTACAACGTTTTTAAAAGCATATGAAGATAAAGAAACAGAATTCAATTGGGAAGCTAGAGACAAAGCAATCGCACGTTTAAGAGGAATGCTTCGAGGCAATGCAACAAAACCTCCCTATCTTGAAGTCTTCATTGCATGTATGAAACAGATGGTCGACGGCATTATAAAAGCAGTTAGTTTTTTTTTTTTTTTTTTTTTTTTTTTTGTCTACCCCCTCATAAATAAAAAAAAATAACACCAATATATATATATACACATATTTATATATATATATATAATGTGTAGGTAGAGAGTTTACGTACTCAGTTATCAGTAAAAGCGCTTTTGTTGATCGGCGATATAGGTATATTTATGGGCAAACATTTAGACAACTATATGACAGATCAAATTCTATTATGCTTATTTCGTTGTGCAAGTTTAACAAAGAAACTTGTTGCGAATGCATCTTTGGAAGCAACTAAATCTTTTTAAAGCATACTCCGTTTTATCCTAAAATTATGAACATGCTTCTATTGTTGATGAATGAAAAAAATAGTCAGGTTCGACTTTATACCATTACTTATACCAAAACTTTATTGCAAGCACATGCACATCGTGATCATACTCGTTTAGTCATGGATCGTACAAATGCAACTGATCATTTTGAAACGCTTTTGACAAAAGGTTTAAATGATGCGACTCCTACTGTTAAAGAAATGTGTCGACAAGCATTTTGGATATTTTGGGAACATTGGAGATCAAGAGGTGACCAGTAAGTTTTACATTATTGCTATAATTATAACTCATTTATTTATTTATTCATTTTTTTTTTAAAAAAAAAAAAGGATCTTAAAGCAGCTGCCTACGATAGCTCAAAAGCAATTAGAAAATCAAAAATAATATTGAATAAATCTGCTTCTTCAGGAACAGTGATGCAACAACATAGTCCAAGTGCATCACCAAAGATATCAAATTCATTAAACCGTCAAGACTCAATGCCTATTTCTCCTTCTAATTCAAAATAGCTCATTCACCATGACACAGCGCTCGATGTCTCCTCGAGCTATGTCTCCACATCTTAGATCCTATGGTTCACCTCCAACATTATCTTCTTCCCTTTCTTCTCATTTACAAAGACCTCATTCCTCTGCTTCAACTACAACTGCTACCAACATGACCCATTCTCATGCTTCACCTCCTTTACATCCCTCACGCACAAATATGCCACGTGTGCTCACACGAAAGAAATCAATGGACTCATCAGACGAAAACCATTGAACATTCTCTCTCTCCTTCAAAGTGATGATTCAACACAGCGATCTGAGGGTCTTGCTCAACTTGCAAAACGACTTCGTCAACAGCTTCCTTATCATCCCTCTCGCATCGTCTTACCCCACATTCATCTCTCTGATACTCTTATCGTCGAAGGGGAAACACTCAAGGCTATCCTTTCCCAGATATGGGACCAGCACCCTGAGGCCTTTACTCATTGGGAAATAGCAACGTGTATCATTTTACCTCTATTTGGTATGGAAGAAGCTCTGTTGAAATGGATTGCGAATGAGGAAGCTCTATTGTATACAAAATTATTTTTGCAGCTTGAACATCCACAATGGCCTAGTACGATAATACAGTCCTTAAGTCAATTACAAAAGGGTCTCCTCGCTGGCGTTCGCTTGACACCCGTCAATCGACGCAAGTTGGTTAAACAATTATGGAATGGATGAACGAACTTGTGATGATTAATTTAGGGAAAGCAGAAGAGATGATGCGTTATGAAGGAGTACCATCCGAGTATTGGAATGGGACGACTGCAAGTACATGGTTTGACTCTGATGAAAATGTGCATCAATCACTTATTGTCTTATTACCCATGGCCTTTACATCGGGTAACCTGTGGCATGCATCGCTTTATTGCATTACTTAAACATCTTCGGTTATTAAATCAGGGACTCTTTGATAAAGTAATCATAGCATTATATGATGATGAGAATACGGTGAATAAACTCTGTCGTATTTTAGGGATTCATATTCGATTAGAATCAAAACCTAAAGTACTAACAGAAGAGGAAGAAGGTTATTTGCTTAAAGTACCTGAAAGAGAAGAAGAGAATGAGAACGAGAGCGAGAACGAGAACGAGAACGAAAACGAGAACAAAAACGAAAACGAGAACAAAAACGAAAACGAGAACAAAACGAAACGAGAACGAGAATGAAAACGAGAACGAAAACGAAAACGAAACGAGAACAGTTTATCAAAAGAAACTGAAAAAAGAGAACAGAATTGTTTATCTGAAATAAAAGCAACTTATCAAAGGTTATCGCCACATCACCACCTCCTATTTTGCAAAATGATGAAATCTTGTTTCAAGAAGATAACTTGGTGGTTCCCAACGAACAACAACCGCTTATAGAACAATTAGATGCTGTCCTTTCAGATAAACCAATGATGTCATCAGACTATTTTAAAGAAGAACCTAATGTGTTACCAACTGACTTGTTTAATAACACAACAATAACAACAACAACAACAACAACAACAACAACAGAGCTTCCGGTAAGACCAAATTATTATTTCATTTAATTACGTATACCTATACATATACACATCTATTTTTATTTTATGAATAGTCTACAAATGATTGTATCAATCGAAAATACTACAACATTATGACTACAAGCGTTCCAGATCTTGAAAAATTCCCAGAACCTCAATTTGTTCCCTTTTTTGCCCCGAAACAAGTCAACTTTAGTAACCCTATCTTTAAAGAAAATGTTCGTAGTGTAGGAAAGGATAAGACAGGATTACTTTATAATTTGATTGATAAACTTGAACAGATCCAATCAATACATTTCGAAAGATGAATCGAATTTTTAGAGAGGTACCGATACGAAGACGATGGGATCAAGGAGGAGCAGAGGAGATAGGTGGTGAGACTTGGGCAGGAGACTCTAGAAAGGATGCGGGCAATTTTGTTGAAACTGTACAAGTTATCTTGCCTTATATAGTAACAATAATAATGGTGATGATGATGATGATGATGATGAGGGGCAAGAAAGGGTGACAGTCTTGGCTCTTGAATGTATACGTCAATTAGCCGTTACTCAAGCAGGTCTCTTTCGATTTTATGAACGACAAGTGAATGAGGATGGTGCAAGTTTAGAGTCAAGATTGTTAGAGAAATTATTAAAAGTTCGAATTAGTTCTAATTCAACTGTAAAGTAGTGATAAAAGTGTATACATCTATTTTTTTTTTTTTAACAATTTTTTTTTTTTTTTTTAGATACGTATGGCTGCAGAAGATGCATTAGATGCAGTTTTAGGTACATTAAGTCCTTCTACGACATTCGAAATGTTAATGGCATTCATTGTATATCGTCTTGTGATTACACCCTTCGATTCCATCAAATTGGATAATCCATATCATCCAATTGGATTAGCCTTTATATACCTTTCAAAATGCGTTAAAGAAATCAATGATAAATTTTATATTGATGAATGGTTAAGCAAAGGCTGTGTGAATGCATTTTTTAAGGTTTATAATATTAAACTTGGGATAGACAAAATTTCTCATTAAATATGTATATATTTGTAGGGTATCAATCATCCTTTCATTCACATAAGAAAATCTTGCGTAGAAGCTATTGTTGCATTTCATGAAGTCATTGGAGAAAATATATATGTCTATTTAACTGATTTAAGAGAAGACCAATTACAATTGATAAGACATTATGCAGCCAAATCATTAAAAAGAAAGAAGCAACAACAGCAGCAGCAACAACAGCACAACAGCAACAACAACTATTATTTGGAATTTAAACGAAAGATATATATATATATATATATAAAAAGGAAAAGATATACGCATACACACACACACACATACACACATACATACATAATTATTTAGATACTTGACTATTAAATGATATTCGTCTTTATAAATCGTTGTATGCATGTTATTCATAAATAAACAAGTAAAATTACATTTCTTTTATAATAATAAAATCAGTTTGAAACAATAGATAGTTTGTCAAAAAATATAAAAGAAATACTACTTGTAGCTTGTTTCTGTTAAAAAAGCCAAGATTTCTTACAAGTGGTTCCTGAAAAAAAAAAAAAAAAAAAAAAAAAAAAAAAAAAAAGAGAGAGAGAGAGAGTTTTAACTGTTGACGGTTCATATTTATTCAGAAAATTGCTTAATAGGATCACTTTTATTCGAAAATTAATCTACAACTACTTGAGGGTAATTGATACACAAGAACAAGAAATAATCATTCATGAACAAAAGGTTAATATCATTTACATTATAAAATAGAACGAAATAGAAATTACTGAGATCAAAGAAGGAGAAACAATCAAGTTTATAATGGATCTAAGCAATGCTTTGTGTAGTAGATATATAGAACACTTAATAAGGAAATATATGAATAGATCGCCAGTTATAAAAATCAAATTGAAAAAAGATTAAAGAGAGAGAGAGAGAGAGATGGCGATGAAGATTGACTGTATAAATGTAAGCTTATTTATTTGTATATTCAATTGAATGACATAAATAATGATGTTTCAGTTTATTTGTTAAAATGCCTAATACAAAATATTTTCTTTTTATTATTATCCATGTTTAAATGAAAAAAGAAAAAAAAATAAAAAAAAAGGGGGGGAAGGACAGAAACAAGCAATATGACGCTTCATAAATTAAATATTTTTTATCGTGATTCTTCATCCTGCATAAAAAGTATATCAATTTGACATGAAGAATCAAAACGTTAATCTTTTTATTTTAGAAATTATTTGTCAACCATAAAAAATCTTGACCTTCTCGTTCAGTATAGTAATTTCCCTTATTATTACTATCTTCTAGGACATAGTATGTACTTTCGTTTTACAATACAATTATGTTCGTAAGAGAAAAGAAGGAAGGAAAAAAAAAGTTATATCATTTATTCTGATTATATAAACAAAAGAAAAAAAAACAACAACAACATAAGTTTGGTCTTATGAGTTTCATGAACAAAAAGATTTAATAATTCAATAAAATCGTTATATAAGTAAGAGTTTATATATGTGGATGCATTTATTTATTTATTTTTTGTTCTTTTATTTTCTACAAGATAATCCACTCTTTGCACCTTTTATTACCCCCTCTTTCTCTTTCTCTCCCCTCTTCTTTACCTTTACATCCCTGCTTCTCCCCTTTGCCTCCTCTCCATTTTTTTAATATTAAATTACTATATAGACTTATTTAATCAAAAAAAAAAAAAGCTTTGAGCTATTTGTAATAACTTATAGTACTCGATTCTCTCTCTCTCTCTTTCTTTTGTTTTTTCTTTTCTTCATTTCTTTCATACTTTATAATATCCATAACTTACAAAGAATACATATACATATATTATATCAAATAATTAAATACCATGTTAGCTTATTCGCAAGATTCATTCATTCATCATCATAACAATAATAATTCAAATTCTATGAACCAACATCAATTAATACATGAACAACAAACAATACTTAATTCAATGTGTCGACATAATAACGAACAACATCGAAAAGATTCAATTATATCTATCGATAATAATAATAGTGAAATAGATGCCATTATGAGTAAAGATCCCAATAATAAAAACTTCTTTTTTATTTTTTTAAAAAAAAAATATCAAATGTTAATGATCATTTTTTAATCTAAAAAAAGATAAAGAAGAGCAGGTATGGCCTCCAGATGTAGAAGCTGCTTTTATTGAAGGTATATTGAATATACAATAGTATGTATAAAAGTGATAATAAAATTTATTTTGCTTTAGCCCTTGAATCAATTCCTAAATTAGGCAGAAGAAAAATTCTTGTCAATGGAAAACCCTGTGGTAAGTACGATCTATCAATATTACGTGATTTAAATTTAATAATTATTATCCTTCTTTTCCCTCCTTTTCCCTACCTTCTTCCCTCCCCCCTTTTTTTTAATTCCCTCGTATTTTTGATCTATTGTATTTAACTTTCCCCCCTTTTTTTTCATATATACACATGCTCACAAAATAAAAAAAAAAAAGGCCGAAACGAACTTATTTCAGAATATATATTTCGCAAAACGTCTAAAATTCGTACGAGAAAGCAAGTTTCGTCACATATCCAAGTATTAAAGAATACTCGTAAAGGAGATGCTTACTGTAAGAATTACAATTATTATTGAGTCTTTTTTTTTTTCTTTTTTTTAAAAAAAAAATTAAAAAAAAAGAATAAATAGGTTACTAACTTGTTTGATAAAGTTATGCGTCTTTTGACAGATTATGTAGATTTAGATAATAATGGTAACCATCGTAACCATAACTTGATTCATATGCAACCCTTATCACCTATTGAATTTCATCATCAACAATTTTACTGTCAGCATCCAGTAGTACCTAATGCTGTTAAAATGAATACATTTTGTTCTATTGACTCATTTTCTTCTGATGAATCATCCATTCAATCATCGCCATCATCCAATGAATACCTTTTTGATTTTATGTATCACGATCCGTCTCATCAGCCACAAGCCTTTTCTATGTTCCAATTCAATCCACTTTTATCAAATATAATAGATCCAGTAACAATGAAACCCAATAATCCATACCAGATCCTTTCTTTTTTGGCGATATAAATCTTGGAAACACACTAATCCATTCCTCAAATGACATGTTTACAGCTCTATTAGAGAACGAACCTCTTATGCCCTCATTCGATGAAACCTTTAGTATACCAACCGAAACGAATTCCACAAAGGCTCAACCAAATAAATCAAACAATAACAATAATGATAATAATAATAATAATAGTTTGCCATGTGGATTATGGCCTAATTATTTTTGTCTCTATCTTGATTATAGTATGCCTTGTGATCCATGCCAGCCCTTTTCACACAACTTGTCTCAATTACCTCATTGCTTTTGATTGCTTACCGAACGTATCGGCAGACGTTATTTCAAAAGATAAGTGTCCTATTTTAGATACCCTTCTAATGCGTCAATCCTCTTCTAAAGAACATACTCTACTACTGGCAAAAGTATATATATAAAAAAAATGAATACACATAAATAGTATAAACAAAACAGATAGAAATTTTGAAAGCTTATATCCATATATGTATATTTTTAGATAAATCTTGATTTGAATCTCGATATTTCGGGGTTTGCATTTAATAATACATCTTTCTTTGAATCACAGACGCGTCGTACAATTGAATGCACAACCACAATTTACTCTTTCGGAAATGTTGTATTGGAATCAAAAGAAGTTCAACAAGCACTTTGGATTAATGAAGGAAAATACATGTATAGTTTTGCATTTGTGAATCAATTTTTTGATGCATTTATGAAAGGCATAAGAACGCTTCAATCATGGGAAGAGGTAGATATTGCTATTAATAACTTGTGTATTATTCAGGTAAATAATAATGAGAATTTGTTTCTTTATAATAATGGCTAACCTTCCTCTTTTTTTTTTTTTTTTTTTTTTTGTCTTCAAAAAAAAAAATTAGACATTTGAAGATATTGAATATAAATACCCTTTAACAAAAATCAGTAATAATTCTTCATTTTTATTAACATTAATTTATGAATTTAAAAGAGGCACTGGTCCAATTGAAGTCTCACTTGTTGAACAAAAAGAATTTGATAAAGGCACATCCAATTAAATCTTGCTTTGTGCTTCCTTTCTTTATACATTTAATCTTTTTTTTTTTCTTTAAAAAAAAATATGTCCTACTTGTAAGAAAAAATTATGTTATATGTTCTAGAAAAAAAAAGTTATGTAGTACAGTGAGCGTGGTAGCAAATTGCGCTGGCTGAAATTCATATTACAGATATTGAATTCTTAATAATATGCTAACAATAAATTTCAATTTGCATTTTGACTTATCCCCCAACTTGCGCTTATAATTTTTCTTATCTAGCGTTAGACTTTCTTTACAATCTGCGTTATTAATTGATGAACAAGTACTTTATTTTATTTTTTTTGAAAGAACAATGTGGTCAAAGCACCCATTTTAATAGCTTACTATACATCAGTTTTATTTTTCTTTACTTTCTCTCTCTCTCTTTTTTTTTAATATCCAAGAAAATGTATAAATCCATAATTCTTAACACGATTGAAGCAGTAAAAGAAAGCAGAGCGTTAGGTATAGAGTATGAGATATTTTAAAGCTGCTTTGTTTCTCATAAGCACTATATCTACTTGGGAGAGAAATCACAGCCAACATGCAAGGATTGTAAACAAACCGGGCATTATAATAAAAACTATTATAAATGTAGACTTTATAAAGAAGACTAAGCAGATAACGATGAGTAAACACAAACGGATAAGTTTTATACATTCTAACTCTTTTTGATAGTCGGTACAAGCCAGAAATAACAAAGTTCAGAAACCAAGAATATCAAGAGACAAGCAAAGCGGCAGCGGGTAGAAATGGACTCAAACAAAAAAAAAATATAGATCTTGTGGTAGCAGCAGTCATAAATCAAAACGTTCTCCTGATTGCCCTCAACTTATACTTGGTAAACTAGAAGTTCTTACCGAAAACTTGGGGACAGGGTTTCAAACGTTCACCAGGAAACTTCCACTTGATACCTGTGTAAATGATTGGTACAGAAGTGTACTTAAAAATAGGATCCTCCCTGCAAGCGAAGATGTTCGAAAGTTACTTTTTTTAGAGCTCAAATATTTGTAAATCATTACATCATTATCCATTCAAATGAAAATACTCCAGCTTCTATTTTTCAACAGTCATTCTGGTATTCTATGTGTCAGTTAGTCAGGGACAAACGTGTTACAAACAGCGCTGGCGATCCCATCTGGATTACTTGATGATTGAACAACTTCCAAAAAAAAAATACTATTACTATTAATAGAGTAAAGCTGGCTAGTGGTAGCACTCAATGTCTAACAGAA